ATCTGTGAGGTGCAGAGTCCTAGATTTCCCCTTCAGACATAGATCCAATGCCCTGGACCTCATCTATGTTCTTTAAAGCCACCTGCCTTTGGAGGACAGTATCACTGTCAAGCTAGACTGCCACTGACTTTTCCTCAGCCTGGAGGGATGGACTCAACTATCAGTAATGGCATGGAACAGTCACACTCTCCTGGGTCCCTGCTTCTCAAGCTGCTAGCAAACCTTTGCCTGTCATGCCACCGGTTGCTTCAAAAACACTAAGTTGAAGCTCCTCCACATCTTATACCTTTTCCTCTCTTAGTTTTCAAGTTTCTGTGCCAGTCAAACTGACCTTTCATTTCTCTTATAGAAATTGCCCTGCATGTCAAGAGTATAGCTATTTATACTGAACAGGTAGAGTACTAATGAGCATGCATCATTACCAACACCACAGGAGCATTTGTAGATAGCTGGATGTGTGATACATAATTAACCTTAATCAACATGAGTTATGAGAAAGGTTTACCTTGGCTGTCTGGTATTTAAGAAGAGACTTTAAGAAATAGCTTCCGCTATTTTGGATCCTCAGAATTGCAATTTTGCACTTTTGCCACAAAAACATGGTTGCATCTGTCATCATTTCTCTGTCTGGCAGGAGAACCTAAGGAAAAGGTATTTTTCAAAGATTTCAACTACCTGGCTTTTGAGGGTGTGAAGTCACAAAATTTAAAAACCCAATAATGCATTTGCAGGATTGAACACTAGTATCTCATCCTTCTCTTCCCTCCCAGCAAGCCAAATGGGTCACTGCCTCCTCCTCAAGACTTCTCTTGCTTGGTGAACAAAGCCCTGCATAGCCAACTGCTTAAAAAGGGAGAAGATGGAGCGCTTTCTGCTCCTGCCACCATCTCATCCTCTGACCTGGAAAGAAATAGTTGCAATGTCTTTACGTTTTAGGTAACCACCCTTAGGGGACATCATTCCCCAACAGAAAGAAGGAAGGAAAAGTAGGTGGTACCAAAGGGGCAGACAGCCAGAGCTGAAGAGCAAAGGAATGGACCAACACGCATTCATTGGTATGCTACAGATATGTGCAAGCACACAAATGTGTAAAGAGGCTCAGTATTGTGAACAAGCTTGGAATTCTCTTTTTATATTTTGAATGGTAGCTGCCATTATTTTCTAACAAGCTCCCATTACATCCCAGTACTTCAGAACGACCCTGTGCTTCTGTTTGCAACATAGTGTTGTTGTTGTTGTTTTAGAAAGTTTCCTTAAAGTGTTGCACGGGAAACTGTCTTATACCAAGTGAGATCATCAGTACATCCAGTTCAGCATCATCTGCTGGCTTCCAGAGATTCTCCAGGGTGTGGAGCTTCAGACATTCCCAGCTCTACCTGGAGATGCCAAGGACTGAACCGCTTGCAAAGCATATGTTCTACTACAGCCCTTTCCTGTGTTATATTTCTGCTTAGTTGTTATGAAACTAAAAATATTGTTGCAGCTTTCTAAATCTGACATCCATTATCTATTATACAAAATATTTTGCACAAGAAATTAATTTAACACACCAATTTCATGTAGTTCATACTTAACCTCAGTTTTACTATACCTTTTCAGGTGTACTGATGCAGGAATAAAGAGTTCTTGCCAATGTAAAAATTTCATCAGTAGTCTTTCCTGCTGGTACTCTTCCATCTACCATTGCAATTGATTTTGAAAAGAAAATTAAAAGCAGTCAATTCCGTAAAAATATATTTAAATCCGAATTCTCAGTTGAAGCAAATGCAGGAAATTACATGAAATACAAATGAAGCAATTTCCTACTGTTATACAGAATTTCTCTCTGAACATGGTCAATTATCTGGAAAATTTAAAGTTTAAAGTTTTGTCATTTAATAATGAGAAGTGAGGTATAAAAAAAGAAAATCAACAGGAAAATAGTATTTCATCCAAGATCCCAAACATCTACCTACTCTAAAAAGCTATCTCAAAATCTTGGTCAGGCTTTTTTATTTGTATGGAAAAGGAAGTAACAAATATCTCCAAATTGTTGGGACCAACAAATGAACTGCTTAAGATGTAGGGAGCAAAACAGATTTAAAGGTGATATGGGATGCGAGTAAAGCAGTAATGTGGGGGTTTTTTATACAGCAAAGCACATTCCAAAGAAAGATAGGAGAGCAGAAAAAACAAGAAATTTTACAAGAAGTAAAAAGAGAAAGAATTAATAAATTTCCCTCAAAAATAGATAGTGCAACAGGATAGCAAGATATTGCAAACGCATTATTCAATTATAATAAACCAGGAAATAGAGTGGAAAATTAAATATTTAAAACAGAAACAATTTTAACAGGCTAACAAGCCAGGGAAACTATTAGCTTGGCAAATAAAGAAGAAACAAGAAAAAACCTGTATTAATAGAATAAATGTAGGAGGTAGAGTTGTGGAAAATCCAAAATAAGAGATTTGCGAGTTTTTATACAGAACTATGGGACGCAGGTGGCGCTGTGGGTTAAACCACAGAGCCTAGGACTTGCCGATCAGAAGGTCGGCAGTTCAAATCCCTGTGACGGTGTGAGCTACCGTTGCTCGGTCCCAGCTCCTGCCCACCTAGCAGTTCGAAAGCACGTCCAAGAGCAAGTAGATAAATAGGTACCACTCCGGCGGGAAGGTAAACGGTGTTTCCGTGTGCTGCTCTGGTTCGCCAGAAGCGGCTTAGTCATGCTGGCCACATGACCCGGAAGCTGTACACTGGCCCTCTCAGCCAATAAAGCGAGATGAGCGCCGCAACCCCAGAGTCAGCCACGACTGACCTAATGGTCAGGGGTCCCTTTACCTTTACCTATACAGAACTATATCAAGCCAAACAAGCTAATTTAGAAGAAATTCGTAAATATTTAGAAGACAGAGAACTACCTAAGACACCAAAAGATAAAATGTCATTTCTGAATAGACCTGTCAAAATGATGGAATTACAGCAAGCAATTTTACAGGCAAAATTAGGAAAGGCACCCAGACCTTTCAGCAATATATTATAAAAAATTACAAGATTACCTAATACAACCTTTAAAAAGATATTATGAACTTTGAATACAGGAGAGCTACCAGAATCCTGGAAGAGTGCATACATAACTTTGATTCATAAGCAAGATAGAGATCCAGAGCTAGCTTAGAACTATCAACCTATTTTGTTGTTGAATAACGATTATAAACTGTTTGCAGACATATTAGCTAATGGGTTGAAAACTGTATTAATAGAGGAAATCCATCAAGATCAGGCCATATTTTTGTCAGGAAGACAAATGAAAGATAATATCAGAAACATAACTGATGTAATAGAATATTTAGAAGAAAGAAATGAAAAACAAGAAGCTTTAATGTTTTTAGATGCCGAGAAAGCACCTGACAATGTCAAATTTCCCTAAGTTTTAAAGTTCTTTCTCTTCTCATTATAGTCAATGGTACACCAGTACAAATATTTAACAGTTAATAACATTAGTCACATTTTGGAAGGTACAGTGAATCATGTTTTATTACCAATATGTAGAAAAATATATAGGATGACTTTCACTTTCTCCTTATCCTGCATTATAACTTCTTGGTGTAATTATTAACTGAGCAGCTACTAACTGTGACACACCTTGAAATGTGATGGATTTTCTTCCTGTACTACGAAAAGTACTTGATTCTCTGATAACACCTCCATGCACACACAAGCCGTGTCTTGGTTTTCTTGCGGTTATTAGAGGCTGCATTACTAGAAGTATTTTGAGTTCTGATTCTGCTTTCTTCCATTTGGGGGCATTTTGATTCTATAAATATACAGAGAAATGAGAGATCTTGCTTGGCCTATGAATTCTAAGCACAACAAACTACTTTTAACATTGAGAAACTGAATTTACCTGAAGAAAGGAAAAAAACACTATAGCTGCGTGATCAAAGCTATCCCACTCCTCATAGCTGAAAGCCATCTTAAGAAATCTCAAGGCAGCATATGCAGATATACCACTCTTCCCTATAAGAGTAACACAAAAGGTGTAAGACTCCCCACAATACTCGCAAACAGAAAGGAGAACACTAAACTTATTTATTTACTGATTTAACTACTTCTGCAAGTATGGGACCAATATGATTCCTTTCAATTCCTTTGCAGTAGGCCAATAGCTTTATATGAAGACCTTGTCTGATTCAAACTTCTACTCAAAGAGGTAGCTGTGAAGAAAGGTTTCCATTTAAATCTCCCTAGCCCTTTAAGGGTCAAAGTATTTACATAAAAGACGTATGTGTCTCTATTTTTTAAACACAAAGCAACTGAAAATGCAATGGTTCAAACTGTAGAAGCCCTGCCCCCATTTCTCCACCCACCACCACATGGACTCCTCTCAGATTTTTCCCATTTAGCACAAATTTGTGATTTGGGCTTTTGCATTCAGAAGTCTTTACATTACAGTGGTACCTCGCAAGACGAACGCCTCGCAAGACGGAAAACCCGCTAGACGAAAGGGTTTTCCGTTTTGGAGGCGCTTCGCAAGACGAATTTCCCTATGGGCTTGCTTCGCAAGACGACAGCCCATAGGGAAATATCCAGGATAGCGGGGAAGCGCAGCACGTCTTCCCCACTGTCCTCGGACCTCCTCCGAAGCCTGGCGGCGGGGCGGGACACCTCCTCCCCGCCGCCGCCGGGCTTCGGAAGGCTCCTCCGAAGCCGGGCGGTGGGGCAGGAACACCTGCCCCCGCCGCCCGGCTTCGGAACGATGCTCCGAAGCCGGGCGGCGGGGAGGGAACACCTGCCCCCGCCGCCCGGCTTCGGAACGATGCTCCGAAGCCGGGCGGCGGGGAGGGAACACCTGCCTCCGAAGCCGGGCGGCGGGGAGGGAACACCTTCTGAAGGCGGGCGGGGGGGCGAAAGTCTTTGTTCCCCCCTGCCTGCCTTCCCGGGAGAGCGGAGAAACGCAGCGCGTTTCTCCGCTGTCCCGGACGGCTTTTGAAGGCAGGCAGGGGGGAGCATAGACTTTCGCCCCCCGCCCGCCTTCAGAAGAGGTCCAGGACCTCTTCTGAAGGCGGGCGGGGGGCGAAAGTCTTTGCTCCCCCCTGCCTGCCTGTCCCGGAGGGCTTTTGAAGGCAGGCGGGGGGGAGCAAAAACTTTCGCCCCCCCGCCCGCCTTCAGAAGAGGTCCAGGACCTCTTCTGAAGGCTGGCGGGGGGCAAAAGTCTTTGTCCCCCCTGCCTCCCTTCCCAGGGGCTTTTAAATCGCCCCGGACAGTGGAGAAGTCCTCCGCTGTCCCGGGGCGATTTTAAAATGCCGCCCGCCAGCATTTTAAGATCGCCCCGGACAGCGGAGAAGTCCTCCGCTGTCCCGGGGTTTTTTAAAATGCTGGGGGTGGGAAGAAAAGCCCTTGTCCCCCCCCCCCCAGCCTTCAGAAGAGGTCCGGGGACAGACTGTCCCCGGACCTGGTCTGAAGGCGGTTTCCCTAGGAACGCATTAATTGATTTTCAATGCATTCCTATGGGAAACCGTGCATCGCAAGACGAAAAACTCGCAAGACGAAGAGACTTGCGGAACGAATTAATTTCGTCTTGCGAGGCACCACTGTATTGGGAACCTTGCTACGTGAGGGGCCTTCTAAGTGTCCCTAGTACTAAGGGAGTGTGGCTGAACAGCTTGAACCCACTCTGCCCATGAGGAAAGCAAATCTTCCCTTGATATGAGATCCACTTAGCTCACTTTGTTACCACAAGCCTTTTGGTTGTCATTTAAGAATTTTTCTAGAATGCAGTAGGCCGTTCCCATAATGTGCATCACTTTTCACAGACACAAACTCCAGATGGCTGACAATGCTTATGCTGATCTGCTCACTGGACGCATGATCGAATGTAGCAAGAAATTTAAGGGTAGGATTCAACTAATCAGTCTTGCCAGTGGAAGTCAGTGCAAGGGCTCCCGGTTAGTACAATGGGGTTTCTCCCATGTCCTCCAAAATTGGGTCGACAGGAGGGGGTGGGAGAACCCCCAGAACAATATAGGGGGAAGGAGGAGATCACTCCATCAGACAAGCTAAAAAAAATGCAGTGACAGAACAATTGCCATAGCACTATGTTGAATTCCTCTCTAAGTGTCCCGCAGAGTGGTAATGTTAACTGGCCTTCCACCTCAAAGGGGTGTGAATGCAGGTAAACAAAAAAGCCTGTTTTAGAAAAAATACTACAATAGTCAGATTACCAATGGCAAATAATATCATTTTAACACATCCTATCCCCAAACCATCAAAGATGCAATCCTAACTCCCTGATATTCATATCTCAGTTTGGCTAGGTTACTATGATGTGCAAGTCCTTCTCGGCTGTCCTTTGCCAGCAAATAAGAGCACCACTGGTGTGGGGTCTCCACCACAGCGGAGGTCGCAAGATCTGCCATGACAAGCAGGAGGTTACCAGAAGCAGCCACAGAAAGTCCTGAAAGATGGTGTTCCAGAGTGCAGTCTACAGGATCCCAAACCCCACAAATCCCCTGGTTATGACACAACGGAAAAAGGAACTTCTGCAGCCCAGGCCAGCAGGAACTGCCAGGGCTTTAAATGTGGTCTAAGATCTGCCACTTGGTATTGTTCTGTCAGTGTTACAAGAATAAATACCATTAATTTACCTGCTAAGATCTGTTCCATAAGTGTTGATGTTCCAGTTATAACCATAGAAACAGGGATTAAGCTGCTTCGGGCAGCTACGCCACCACCTGCAATAAAACTATCTTGTTAGCCCTCATGTACTATTTTACAAGATGTTTTAATTATCATATAATTTTGAAATACATTTACTGTACATGTAAGTTTCCTAAAAGAGCAACCTAAAAGAGCAACATTTCAATATCTTTTGGTAATAAGAAGGCATGCTCAAATTGCTTATTACCTCCTTGAATATGGTTCAATAGTTATATAAGAATGGTCTCTACTACAGGGATAGCCAAAGAAGTACCCTCCAGATGTTGAACTAAAACTCCCATCATCCTTGGCCACTGTCCATACTGGCTTAACACTGATAAGAATTGTCCAAGAATATCCAGAGGGCACCACATTAGCTATCCCAACTCCACTCAATTCACTTGTTTTTCTTCATTTAACATACTATTTCTTTCCCACCTGCTGTCAGATTAGATCTCTCCCCACCAACCACCACCATCATCACAGCTGTTGGGGGTTATTGGATCTCAGAAAATACATCAAGAGAACAGTCATAGTTTAACATCATGCTGAAAGCTGAAGTCCAAAGAAAGCAAGAAATAGAAAGGTTCAAAATGTTAAAGTCTCCAACAGGAGAATAATTAAAATTAGATTGATTTTAGGAAAGTTCTAATCCAAATATCCATCTCTCGGTTCACATTCTTGCTTACTGTGGATTTTGGTAGCCCTACAGATATTCATGTGATTTCTCCACTGCCTCACATATGGCTCAGTTTCTTGTGTTCATACTTCCACAGCTTTGAAAAAACTATTACTGTGTCTTATTTTTCTTCCACTCCGATACCAGTTTAAAGCAGAGCACTCTTCAGTCCTAGCGCAGTTTGAATTTTTAAGAAACAAACATTTTACTTTCTGATATAATGAGTAGAATTTCCACATGTTGACAATGATAATTACTTCCAATTTTTGAAAAGTAATAAAAGAATTACATTTGGTTTTCCTTGTTATAATTAGCCAATTCTCTACAGTTAATTTCATCCACTTACCATCAAGAATATCCACACCTGCAAAAAACAACTCTGAAATGACATCACGAATTTCCATTTCATCAGGAATAGGAGGGCTAGGGATCAGTGTCCGCCTATTTCTATCAAACAGAGCTTCCAAGACGCCAAAAAAGATAGATGAATTGCAATCAAATATCTCCATCATCAGCCGTTCTGAGATTGTCCGAGGCCAAGGAAGCTAAATGAAACAAAAATAATCAAGGATCACATATTTAAAATAGCTGTCGTAAGTAAACAGCTCCATATAAAACCATGCTGGAGAGCTTTAAGTTAGACTGTGCACGGATAGGTAAAAAGCCAGTGTGAAGTGTAAGTCTTAGCTGGAATTAAGGAAAGCTCTGTTTGTTTGTGTCATATTTAAATTATAAAAAGTAAATCTTTATGAAGCAGAATTTATTTTCTTTTTTTTAAAAGACATTTTAGGGAAGTGTGTCCATATGTCATGGGCTGGCTGGATGCAGAGGAGCACCTGCCAGGGAACCGCCAGGGGAAGAAGGCTCCAAGCCAGTAGATTGATGGTGGGATGACAATGAAGAGGTGGTGTCAGCAGAATAGATGACAGGGTTTAGTGAACAGTTGATTGTCGGGGCTTCAAATGTACACAGGTCTCTTTATGCACTGACAATCAGCCGGTCGTTGGTGCTTGCAGAGGGCCATGTTGCCCTTTGAAGCACCTACAGCTGACAGTAAGGGTTTCAAAGTGCCTTGCAAAGGCTGTGTGGGCATTGCTGATCAGCAGGTGCAAGGCAGGTGAATGCCTGGTGAGCCAAATGGCGAAGGTTGGTCCAATCAAGCGATATAAAAGGCCTTGGTTGAATTCTGAATCTTGTTGATACAAATTGGCTCCCTGGAGCTATCCAAGGTACTGCAACTCAAATCTGACCATACCTGCTACCCGCCTGGCTAAGTTACCCTCATGGGGTCCAGATCAGGACAGGGTGAAATGGCTAATACATACATGTTGTATATCTTTCATATTATTTTTCACTCTTGGACGAAAAAGCCCCTTTGGTCGTCTTCTGGGTTCAAATGCTGATCTTTTGAAGATCATTGCTGCCATCTGACCCCAAAGAGGAAAGAAAAAAAGCATAAATTATTATGTTACATGTTCCACTTTCTTAAATACTATAAATCCCTATAAAATTTGAATACCTTCACAGTTGCTTCTTTGAATTTTCTCTTTGTTTCTGTGCTTAATGCTGGTGAACTCATATTTTCCATTTGCTTTAGTTCATCTATTTTAACCAAACCACGGCGTGCAAATATCTGAAGAACAATAATATATATATGTAAACTGGAGTGCCTATTATTTTCCTGTTAATAAAGGCAGGTGTGGGAATAGGAAGAAATGGCAATACTGTGTCGCCCATCTTGAACTAGAAATCCACTGACTGCTAGCATTCAGAATTCCAATGCCCATCCTAGAGTCACATTCCAAATAAGATAGAGAAGAAATCTGGGAAGATTCATGTGGATCAGAAACAACCAACAACGGCAGTGCTTGGGATCCAGATAACCATTCTAGGTTTAGCTGCCCAAAATTCTGGATTCAGATTACTAAGAAAGTAAGTAGGCAGAGCAAAACACATTATGGAGAATGTTGAAGACAGAATATGCAGAAAGACTGAACAGAGTAGGCTAGAGCTAAATCAGATAGGCAGATTAGAGAAGAAGTACTTGGATTTCAGGGTCAAAGGTATCAGATGGTCTACAACAGAAATATGTTTTATGCTGCAGGGATAAAATGTTCCTGTATGGCAGTCATAACTATACAGAGAAGGACCAGTATGTTGGTCACTTGTTGAAATCAAAACTAACAATATCTTCAGTGCAAAAGTTGAGAAAAGGGGGAAAGTAAACTAAAAATTACAGAGGTAACCTGTCTATTTTATCCAAGCATAAGTCATTTGGGAAATTGCTAGGTTGTGCTCCCATCAAATCAAGATCAATGATCCCAACATCATATACTTATGGACTGTTTTGACTAAATTTTTCTTTCTGTTCAGACAAGGAACACAAAACAAAGGCAGTGCCCCTTATGCACACTTTAATATAGTCTCCCAAGAGCAGCTTATTTTTACACAAATCCAATATATTTTTAATTATATTTAAAATATGAAGGAAAATCATTACCTCTCCATTTATGCCAGAATAGCAGTCATAATAACACTGGCAAACAGCAGCATACAGTGTTGCTCTCCATGGCAAATAGTGTACAGCTAAAAGGGGAACCGATGATTCCATGCATACACAGGCCCATAATAAATATTCAAGCACCTATTGAAAGAGAAACTGATTATAAATTAAGCCATTAATGGGTGACATCCAGTGTTAGTTATATTCAAAGCAGATCCACTGAAGTCAACGTAATTTAAGCCAATTTATTTCAGGGTGTGTGTTCTGAATATGACTAACCCTGAATATCACTCAATGATATAAACACTGATTAGTATAAAATATTACAGGGGTTGACAAATTTTGAAAGGTAACTACTATACAGTGGTGCCCCGCAAAACGAATGCCTCGCAAGACGGAAAACCCGCTAGACGAAAGGGTTTTCCGTTTGCGATGCGCTTCGCAAGACGAATTTCCCTATGGGCTTGCTTCGCAAGACGAAAACGTCTTGCGAGTCTCGCCATTCCCCCCCCCCCGCTTCCCCCCCCCTTTTTCAAAGCCGCTAAGCCGTTAATAGCCTTTTAACAGCTTAGCCGCTAAGTCTTTAATAGCCGCTAAGCCGCTAAATCGCTAATAGCGCTAATCCGCTTAGCCGCTAATGGGGTTGCTTCGCAAGACGAAAAAACCGCTAGACGAAGAGAATCGCGGAACGGATTCTTTTCGTCTTGCGAGGCACCACTGTACTTCTTTCCCCTCTTTCAGTTCAAGACTTTAGTGTGTCATAACTGATTAACGTTATGAGTAGGTGAGCTAGTAAAAATAATAACAACTTTTGCAGACTTATGTGCAAAACTGACTCCCCCCACCACACACATCTACCTTTCTTGCTTACTTTTTCTGGAGTGTACAACTGAGATGAACAAAACTTTGAAAGTCACAGGATGATCTTATTGTATAAAAAATAGCCACTGGGTGGCACTACAGTTCAGTTTAAGGACAACTGAAAAATATTCCTTATAATCAAGCAGTATGTAATTTTCATACTGCAGATTTCAGAATGAAATCTATCTATCTATCTATCATCTATCTATCTTCACTCTCACACCGTTTTAAAATCAAATAACATATTCATAATAAATCTGCCGGGTTAAATAAATAAAAGTATTCCCATTTTCATGCAAGTAAAATGTATAAAAATCAATACTAAGGGTTTTTTACTCAAACAGTACAAGACCACGTTTTAAAGTGTAGTACTGTATTTACAGAGTGGCGGCAGCAGCAGCAGCACAGCTCTTGAGTACAGTGGTACCCCGCAAGACGAACGCCTCGCAAGACGGAAAACCCGCTAGACGAAAGGGTTTTCCGTTTTGGAGGCACTTCGCAAAACGAATTTCCCTATGGGCTTGCTTCGCAAGACGAAAGCCCATAGGAAAATCTCCGGGGACCTCTTTTAAATGCTAGCGGTGGGGAGCAAAGCCTTTTCCCCCCCCTCCGGCCTTCAGAAGAGGTCCAGGAAGGCTGGCGGGGGCCGAAAGGCTTTGCTCCCCACCGCCAGCATTTTAAAAGCAGTCCGGGATAGCAGGGAAGCGCTTCCCGCTATCCCGGACGGCTTTTGAAGGCAGGAGAGGTCCGCGAAGCCTCGGCGCGCTGATCTCAGCGCGCGCAGGCTTCGGCATGCCGGCAACTCACCGCAAGCAGCGGCAGCGCTGCCGCTGCTTGCGGAGAGGTCCGCGAAGCCTTGGCCGGACAGCTTTTGAAGGCAGGCGGGGGGGAGCAAAGACTTTCGCCCCCGCCAGCCTTCAGAAGAGGCGCTGCGTTTCTCCGCTCTTCCGGGAGGGCTTTTAAAGGCAGGCAGGGGGGACAAAGACTTTCGCCCCCCGCCAGCCTTCAGAAGAGGTCCAGGACCTCTTCTGAAGGCTGGCGGGGGGCAAAAGTCTTTGTCCCCCCTGCCTGCCTTCCCAGGGGCTTTTAAATCGCCCCGGACAGCGGAGAAGCCCTCCGCTGTCCCAGGGTTTTTTAAAATGCTGGGGGTGGGAAGAAAAGCCCTTGTCCCCCCCCCAGCCTTCAGAAGAGGTCGGGGGACAGACTGTCCCCGGACCTGGTCTGAAGTCGGTTTCCCTAGGAACGCATTAATTGATTTTCAATGCATTCCTATGGGAAACCGTGCATCGCAAGACGAAAAACTCGCAAGAAGAAAAAACTTGCGGAACGAATTAATTTCGTCTTGCGAGGCACCACTGTATTCATCTAAGATTCTTTAGAAAACAAATTTTGTGTCATTAGTTAAGTTTGTTGAAAATATCTACATCTTGCCTTTCTGTCTTGTTTCTGAAATACCCAAAGCAGCTAACACCATGGAAAAACCAAACACTATCACATGAGATAATAAACAGAAAAGCAAAAAAAGAGAAGCATGACAGACAAAACAACTTTTAAAAGGCAACATGTTAACAATTCACAACCTAGTCATGGCAAAAGTCTACTGCCAATTCTTCATTCAGTACAGTATCTAAATGCTCTAAAGATGGGCCACACAAAATATTCCGATAATCTAGGTGGACAGCTAGATTGATACAGAAAAAGACAGTAATTACGCTGGGGTCCCAAATCAATTTAGAGCAGCCTCTATTTGGCCCTTGGGATTCTCCCAAGGTTTTGTCCTCCACCTAGGCCACACCATCTTTTCCAATGGCTCTGCCCCCTACCCTCTTCCTTTCTGGCTGGAATGTATTCTTAAACAGTGTTAATGTCTTTTGCTCATCTGGATGGAGAAGTGTGCATTTTGCATGGCTGGTATATAGTCTACTGTACAAACATTAGGAATTGTTCCACCCACTTTTGCCTCTGGCCTTGACTACTACTAGCCTGTGACCCCAGAAGTCTGCTCAGAGAGTAATGCAACCTTTGGGCTGGGAAAAGTTTCCCACCTCTAATATACAGCATGAAAAGTAATAACTAACACTCTGAACTGAGCCTAAAGGTTAGGTGCCAGTGTAACTGGTACGAGCTCTAGTTGTGAAGGTATGCTGAAATTCTATGGGCAATGTCTATTGAAATCTCAAAAGCCAAAACCACTGAATGAACAATATCAGATTTAACACTGCCAGTTTTCTATACTTTATTTATTTATTTATTTATTCATTCATTCATTCATTCATTCAAGCTAAGAACATCCTTTAAAACGCACACACACGCGCACACGCGCACACACAAAATCATCACAAGTCAAACACAAGCTAAAATGTTACCAAAAACATGCAGAATAGTAACAATCTGAAAAATTAATATATCTTGACAGACACAGGAAAAGAGACAAATACTTCCAAATTTATCTTGCCATACCTTAGCAGATTGACCAATGGTCATTAAATGCCTACAAATGGTATACATATGGATTGTACCTGCAAGGACAAGTAAATTATTTTAAAAACATATATAGCAGTATGTGCATCTGTGTGCATGCTGATATATATTATGCTGAGCTTGTGGACTATCCTTACTCTCACCTCAACTTGGCTTTTCTTTATTCAACTTATTCAATATATATTCAATAAATTCAACTTATTTCAACTTATTCAATATAAATTGTAAGCTACATGTATATATGTATAAAACCTGCACAGTGAATACAGCAAATGGACATAAAAAATAACACCTATAGGTTGTATTGGCAAAGCAGGAAAAAATTCATATTAAATGGTTTCTAACTTCTTTGAAACTTACTTATGAAACCATGTCAACCATTTCATGACTCTAATAATCTCAAACATTTATTTCCTAAACTTTTGGAACTGAATTCCCTTATATGAAAACAATACCCTCTGATATATTTTACAGTATATTATATATTATATTTTACATGCTTATAATGTTTTTATTTAAAAAACTATAGTGCTTATCCATCTACATTAAAGCTATCAGCACTCAACTGCCTGCATAATAAATAATTTGCTTCACAGTGAAAATCCAACCCAAAATGTAAACAGAAACAGCAAAACTGAAATTCCCCATGAATTTTATATTCGGGAGGGAGCTCTAAAATTAAACACTCTTTTAATCTTGACAGCTCTCTAACAGGATTTAGAAAGTAAAATTTGTGACGTACCATTGTAGACAAGCCAACACAAACGTTCATGTGGCAAAGTCATCTGCATGATCAGCTGCAATATGGACAAGAGTCTGAAACATGTCTTCACAGATTCCTGATTCAGGAGGTCCTCATCATTATCACACACCAATTTGTAAATGCAGATATTCCTCACTTGCAAAACATGGAACTAAAATGAATAATCAGAGATTGAAATGACGTAATTCTTCAAATCAAAATGTGAATTTAGCACCCCACCCCATAATTCACCCTTCAGCCACTCAGCCAGAGGACATATTTCCCCAGCTCTTTCACAACTGTGCCACTCAGCATATTCACTCCTAGGTCTTGTATGAAATTCCCACCACTGTCTACCCCATGCTTCATTGGCCCCTTTTTCACTAGCTTGTTTCCTTTGTGCTTTTTTCATCCAATCGCTGCCTTTTAGCTAATTAACTACTTTCTACCATAGCACTTAATTTAAGCAATGGCTTCATGGCACAGCACTTAAATTTAAACAAGGGCTCAATGAAACATCCTCAGAACTTCAGTCTCTAGGACAGTGTTTTTCCACAGCCAAACCAACATTCCACTTCCAGCACAGCAATTGTTCTGATAAGCTCCTTGCTTGTTTGTTTTCATGCATTTGCTACTCATTTGGTGTGAGGGGTTCACACTTCTTGCCTAAAGCTAGTGCCTCTGAAGTGCAGCAGACACCAAAAGTGATCAATTTTCAGCAGCTGTTAAAAACTTATTTATTCACTCAGGCCATGCATTTTTGTACTTGGAACTGTTTGAGAATTTGTCTGTATCATGTTTTATTTATTCTTATCTTATTTCTATATTTCATCTATTAAAGGTATTTTAGATGGTTGTAAATTGCCTTAACATTCTTTGAATAAAAAGGCAGTCTATAAATGATTCAAAGAAGATAAAGATATATATTTCTGTCAGTATAAAGTTATTCTTCTAGCCAAAGGCCATGACAAACCCACAGCAACAGTAGCAGTAAAAAAATACAGATCATATACATCCATGATATGAGTCAATATCCATGATATATGAGAGGTTACTAGAGACACCAACAAACTCAAATCCAGCTTGATTCATATTAAACCTCCAAATCATCACAACATTTTATAGAAATGTTATTGAACTACTTTTTCATGGGGTTTTTTTTTGTTTGCTTGTTGCAGCCAATGCATATGGGGCCACTCTGTGTGTTATGAAGCTATTAGTGTCACTTAAAAGAAACTAGACCATTTCAGCTGGAGTGTACCTGCCTGCTTGTGTGAACAAACGTTTCAGAAAGTGGTCTCTTGAGTGTCTATATAAGGAGCAGGCCAAGAGATAATGAGTAGTGTCTTCCACCTGAGGTTGACCACAAATATAAAGTCTGCCTACACATGGGACCTTGCAGCAGCAGTCATCCAAAACTGCAGTGGGAATCATTTGGAAACAGCTCAGTAAAGGTATTTGGTCAAATAGCTAGTTCTAAAATACTGTTGTCGAGTGGTAAAATTGCTGTTTCTAATTAGCTGTGTGTCCCTTCTGGAGTCTATCCATAAGTGCCAATCCCTTAGATGACACTTATTCACGGTCAAAGCTGATCTCAGTCCTGAAAAACAATAATAGTCCAAAACATCTTGACAATCTGCTTTCCAAAGTTGGTTATAATCCAATTCTATATAGCATAGAGCAGGAAAATATTCAATAGGCATAGTAGCAATTTTTTAAATTAACTGGGTGTAGTATTGTTAAATATACTTTAACTGAGCGTCGGCCACCCACATTCTGTACGAAGAACCATGTTTTTCAAAGTTTTTTAATAATACTAATAATAACTGCAACAGCAATAATCACCTTCACTCAATGACAAAACATTGTTGTTATAAAGTGTTCAGAAAAGATGTTGTGAAACTGGAGTAGTGGACCTTTTTGCCCGGAAGGCCAGATCCTTATCCCCCTCACCGCCCCCCACATGGAAAGATGAATGGGGCAACATTATTATGACATCAGCTGATTGACAACCTGCTGGCTATCAGGTGCTTGAGAAATGCTGTGCAACAGGACTTTTTGGGCACTCCAGATTGTCAATGCCTACAATGTCCTGCCTTTATGATTTCAGGGGTAGAGCAAGTGGGCGTGGCTTGCCCAAAATAGCATTGCGGGTCACATAGGGAGGCTCAGCAAGCTAGATCAGGCCCATGGACCAGAGGTTTCCCACCCGTTTTAAAAGTCTAAAAACTCGGGGAATTTCTCAGTACTGAAAATGCTAAGACACTTTTAGGATATTAAAAATGTTCCTTTCATCTAATAAAAAGAAGTGATACACAGAAACAATCTGTATTGGGCTTCAATTTACCATAAAGGCAAACAGTGTTTGTTGTAATTTCCTAAACTAGGATATTTGGTTACCAAGAGAGTACAAAATATCTTCCACCTGAAATCAGAGAACATCATGTTGGAGCACTTTAGACCTACATTTTAGAGCAGGGGAAAAAACTTGGGTTCATGTATCACATTATTCTACAGCAAACAGCTGGTTTCCAGTTATGAAGCTTCAAAGTGAAATCCTTAGTATCTGCTTTTACAACAGGAAGAATAAATAATATCCTAGGAGAGCTTAGATCCCAAATGTTTTTCAAAAACACTGGCAAACTCTTTTAACATATTTATTAGATGAAATCATAAAATGCCCAGAGGACTAAGAATATGAATAATCAGTTGTTTTTTAAAATATGGTTATGCCGATCCTACAACGTATATGCTTGTTAATTTCATTAACATAGTTGCAAATGTAAGATTTGTCTCAATTCAGTAGACACTTTGCCCACAGCACACAGTCAGAATGTATGAAATGTATTTTTCATACATGCAAGTCTGTATAAGATTCTCCTATGAATGAGCAAAAACACCCAGACTAAAGAACTGTATTTCTCACACACTGGGTGATGTTGGATGCCACAAATTAAGAGACAGAGGTATCATTTGAGGGAGTATAAAGGTAATGGGACCCTGACCATTAGGTCCAGTCGTGGCCGACTCTGGGGTTGTGACGCTCATCTCGCTTTACTGGCCAAGGGAGCCAGCGTACAGCTTCCGAGTCATGTGGCCAGCATGACTAAGCCGCTTCTGGCGAACCAGAGCAGTGCACGGAAACACCATTTACCTTCCCGCCGGAGCGGTACCTATTTTTCTACTTGCACTTTGACGTGCTTTTGAACTGCTAGGTTGGCAGGAGCAGGGACTGAGCGACGGGAACTCACCCCGTCGTAGGGATTCGAAACACCAACCTTCTGATCAGCAAGTCAATTGCCCTTCCATGATATAGCTGTATAGAGCTGGCTACATACTATGCCCAAAGCTGAAGCAGCGTGCTTCTGAATACTAGTCACTAAGGAATACTAGCAGAAGAGGGCTATAGCGCTCATGTCCTGGTTTTGAACTTCCTGTTGGCATCTGGGTGGCTACTGTGGGAAACAAGATACTGGACAAGACAGGTCTTTGGTGTGATCTAGAAGGGTTCTTCTGATGTTCTAATGGAAGCAGCTATGCATCTCCATTCATCTCTACATAAGGGCATACAAACATTTGAAGCCATTATGCAATTATGAAGAAAATGGAAATAGGGGAGGAAATTAAAGAAGATAGCTTATCTGTCCCATGTCTGGAACAGAAAATGATCCAGTTAATGTGACTAGTATTCACCGTTGTTGCTTTCAGATAGCAAATGATATTTAATCACCTTTCCCCCCCCGTATTTGAACTGAAATGAATAGGGTGGGAAAACATAATGTCGACATAATTTACATAATTTATGTAATAATTGAATACCATATTTACTCAAATCTAATGCTCACCTTTTTGGGCCAAATTACGTTGCAAAAATTAAGGCACGCATTAGATTTGATGGCACATTTGCATTTGCCAGCAAATACATTTTTGGTTTCAAGATTCTGAAAATTTAAGTGTGCATTAGATTCGAAGGTGCATTAGATTCGATGGTGCAAAAGTTATACAAATTTGCCTTAACAGACAGTGAGATGAATAACATCATTTTTGGCAGGGGGGGAAACAGAACAGAACCAATGCAGCATGTCATAAATACAGGACAAAATGGGAAATGATATCTTCTTACATCCCAACTGCACATATAATTTCCCTACACATGAGTTATAATGTGCCATTATATTCAATAACTGCAAATTAAAAGGGCAGTTTTTTAAAAAAAAACAAACCTCAAAATGCTGCTTATTATTTTTTCCTACTCACAGCAATAAGCAAGCACCACAGGAAAAAAGTGTGCAAAAATATATATACACAATTAGATGTAAGTAAAGTATGAATGTCTCTTTAAACACGATATGAGTTGTCATGTGTGAAGTGCCCTTAAGACAGCATGTTGCTGGAGGAAGAATGGGTGGTGTTTTCTGAATATTTAATGAAACCTTGTTAATGCCAAATTATTAAAATATTAAATAGTATCACATTTATTTTAAATCTTCATTGTATATACTTACTGTACGCGCAGCAGTTGGATCTCTAAGTCCCTTTGGGAAAAAATCAGACTTAAATTGATGCACGTCTGATCCAATTTTGTTTAGATTTACACTACAGATTTCCTGAAGATATCGCCCATAGCACTGTGTAAGTGCCAGCTTATATTCCTGGAAAACAAAAAACAAAACTGATTACACACACACAACATGCACTTTTAATTTCCATAAAATTTTAAGTGCCAAAACGTTAAGATTTTGGACCCCAGCTCCCATCAACCATACACAGACAATGTTCAGGGATGATGGTAATTACACTCCAATAACATCTGAAGGGTCACAAGTTGTCCATCCTTCTTATAATGCATTTACAATGCAATCCTATATATGTCTACTCAGAAGTAAGTTGCGTCAAATTCAACAGGACATACTCCCAGGTGAGTACTGTATAAGACTACAGCATGGTAGAGGTGGAGAGAAAGTCTAATCAGTCTTGTTGGTCAATGTATCATGGAAAGTATATTGTTGTCATTTATTGTTTCTCTATTTTGTTTCTAATATTGAAACAAACAACAAAAACAATAGCAATTCAACCAAAGTTCAGCACTTTTAGGTAGTTTAGTTCAGTAAAATTTAAGCAAAAGTTAAATCCCTCCAGCTGTAACAACTGTCTTTATTCAACTGCTTAACTTGGCTGTGCTCTTTCCAATATGTATGGCTATAACAATCAAGAAAACAAGATTTCCTTTATATCAAAGCATGGCATATATATAAAAATGAAAATTAGAAATATTCAATATCTGAACAATTCTAGGTAACTGTGTGGTTTTTTAAGGCTTTGGTAGAAAAAATACATAGTCATATTAGTGATTCTTAATTTTATTTGCATTTCAGAAGAAAATGTGTTATAAGCTAGAGACCAAGATCTCTTCATCTACTCTCCAATGCAACCACTTCCTGAGCAAATGGAAACCTACACAGAGCATTGTTTCAAAAAAAAGGAAGCAAGAACTATAAAACTAAATGACTGCAGGTGTCATTTAGGTGCTTGAGTTAAATAAGACACACAAGCTATGGAAAGGGCATGGCATTCTTTAAGAAGCAAAAACAGATCTTAGATTTCATTGTATAACTCTTATTAATCTGTCAAAAATGGCAGTTAATTGATAATATATTGTATTATATAGAATTATAATATATTGTAATTATATGCTAGGCTAATGTTTTGTTGCCGTGTCAAAAGTAAAAATGCCAGCTACTGAATCATCACCATCATCAATTTGTACAGCATGAGTTTCTTGATAAATCTCCCTCAACATGTGGAATAAGACTAACTGAAAGTGAGGTTAATTCAAGTAATGTGATCAGACACACTTCTAACAGAAGTGGGGAGGTGAGAGTCTTCTGACTCTACAGCAGTGTTTATACCTTCAGTTAAAGATTACTATATTTCCTTTTCCAGTTTCATATACCTTTAACAGAGTGCCTACCCATGCAGGTGAAAGTAAAGAGTGACAGGGAACACAATTGAAGGCATCTCACTAAATCTTGTCATGAGCTAGGGGGATTTACTTATTTATTTATGAATTTATATACTGCCCTATACCTGGAGGTCTCAAGGCAGTTCACAGAACAAAATCAAAATATAAAACTACAAAACAAATACTCAAAATAAAAACAACCCAATAACACCCCCCCCAAAAAAACCATGACATTTAAAAAGGGCATATGATGTCAATCAAATCAACCAAAGGCCTGGTTATGGGATTAACAGTCTACTTTTGATGCACAGTAATGGCCACAAATAGGCTGAAATTTACCTGAGATGAAGAATCATTAAACTTAATGGGGCTTTTTTTTTTTTTAGTTTATATAGGATTGCACAGTCAGCTATCTTGGGTTGGTCTTATGTATTCAAATGGCTTTCAACAACAAGAAGTCTTGTGGTACCTTAAAAACAAATGACACTTGATGCTAAATTCATCACCTGCAATTGCATTAAGCTTTTTTAGACATTAAACAGTAGGCACAGAAAGTTCCTATTAGATTAGATTAGGACCATGGCACATCAGGAGGAGGGCTACCCATTTGCTAACACAATTTTTTCTCAAGACTCCCTGTATACCATGGTCTGATCCAGTTAATACACATATGCCTACTGTTTAATTTTTAAAAACTATTCTTTTAACTGCACATGACAAATTTAGCATCATGTCTAGTTTGCTAAAAGGACATGAGCTATCATGGGCAGATTGCACTTTACCAAATGCAGGATGTATATTCTCAGATGGAAGAATACAAATGCAGATATAGGAGAGAAATTGCTATAAATAATTCACATAGGGCATTACTTACCTTCATTTCCACAAGCTCATCACCAACTTTCACAAGTTTTTCATTGTAATACCAATCTGGGAATCGAGGCTTGTAGTTGTTCCAAATATTAAACAAAGTAGTTGCTCTAAACAAAAATAATCACTGAACGTTATGGACTGATTATTATTTGGTTTTTTTTAATAAAGGCAGGAAACACACTGGCAGCAATACATACATAATGTTATTTGTATGCCGCCTTTCCACAGTTCAAACCATGCTCAAGGCAACTTACAACATGAAAAATTACATAACTACAACTTAACAAAGGTAGTCATAAATAATAAATAAAACATCAAATAATACACAACAAAACTGAATGATTTCCATATAAATAAATCACAAGCTCCAAAATAAAGATACAAAAAAGCCAACAGCAACTGCAACACACCCACACACACAACAAAAAACCCCAAACACCCCCCCAGCCCACTAAAATACTAGAGCCAGCAGTCATTCAATGAAACTGAATGTTGAAAGATTCAGGACACATGAAAGGACATACTTCTTCACAAAGCGCATAGTTACATTAAGGAATTTGCTACCAAAAGATATAGCGATGGCCAGCAACTGAGAAAGCTTTAAAAAGGTAATCAGACAAATTCAAAGATGAGGCAATCAAAAGTTACAAGCCATGATTATATTACCTCCTATATCTGAGACAGTATAATAATATAATAATTTATTATTTATACCCCGCCCATCTGGCTGGGTTTCCCCAGCCACTCTGGGCGGCTTCCAGCAGAATATTAAAATACAATGATTCATCAAATATTAAAAGCTTCCCTAAACAGGGCTGCCTTCAGATGTCTTCTAAAAGTCCGATAGTTGTTTATTTCTTTGACATCTGATGGGAGGGCATGCCATAGCGCAGACGCCACTACTGAGAAGGCCTGGGTGGTTCCCTGTAACATCACTACTCACAGTGAGGGAACCATCAGAAGGCCCTCGGCACTGGACCTCAGTGTCTGGGCAGAACAATGGGGGTGGAGACACTCCTTCAGGTATAATGGGCCGAGGCCGTTTAGGGCTTTAAAGGTCAGCACCAGCACTTTGAATTGTGCCCGGAAACGTACTGGGAGCCAATATGGTCTTTCAGGACCGGTGTTATATGGTCTCGACGGCCACTCCCAGTCACCAGTCTAGCTGCAGCATTCTGGATTAGTTGTAATTTCCAGTCACCTTCAAAGGTAGCCCCACGTAGAGCACATTGCAGTAGTCCAAGCGGGAGATAACCAGAGGATGCACCACTCTGGCAAGACAGTCTACGGGCAGGTAGGGTCTCAGCTTGTGTACCAGATGGAGCTGGTAGACAGCCGCCCTGGACACAGAATTAACCTGCGCCTCCATGGACAGCTGTGAGTCCAAAATGACTCCCAGGCTGCGCACCTGGTCCTTCAGGGGCACAGTTACCCCATTCAGGACCAGGGAGTCCTCCACACCCACCTGCCCTCTGTCCCCCAGAAACAGTACTTCTGTCTTGTCAGGATTCAGCCTCAATCTGTTAGCCGCCATCCATCCTCCAACCGGCACCAGACACTCACACAAGACCTTCACTGCCTTCACTGGTTCCAATTTAAAAGAGAGGTAGAGCTGGGTATGCCTCGGAAAACCAGTTTCTAGGGATCATAAGCAGGAAAGCACTATGGAGCTTATTTCCTGCTTGCGGGCTTCCCATAGGTGTCAGGATGTCCGCTGTGAGAACAGAATGCTGGACTAGATAGGCGTTTGCCTGATCCAGCAGAGACCTTCTTACGTTCTTAATAACTTCCTCCTTCCTATTACCCACCTTGCATTAAAAATAATAATAATAAAAAATCTGGTAATTGTGCCTGTGCTCCCACTTTGCACCCCAAGGTTCATATGGTGGGCGAAAGCTTCTTACTTTGCTAGCACAACTAAGGGTCAAAGAACTGCAGTGGGAGAAAAGCATTATATCTGCTTTTCCCTAGCACTTATTTTTTCTATTAGCTGTCAGAAAATGGCATGGCTGCACCTAGTCCTTTTTAGTGCAAGGATAGTACAATGCTAAAGGGGAAGAACGATACGCAGTTGGGTAATGGCTCCAACTTTGGATCTAGAGTCTTTATAAAGAGGTGAACAGGTAACCAAGGCAGAGGGCCTTCTCAGTAGTGGTGCCCACCCTGCAGAACGCCCTCCCATCAGATGTCAAGGAAAAGAACAACTATCTGACTTTTAGAAGACATCTGAAGGCAGCCCTGTTTAGGGAAGTTTTTAATGTTTGATGTTTTATCCTGTTTTTAATATTCTGTTGAGAGCTGCCCAGAGCGGCTGGGGAAACCCAGCCAGATGGGCGGGGTATACATAATAAATGGTTGTTGTTATTGTTATAATAATTAATTAAGCTACAGGTGTCAGCTACAACTGAGGCACCTGGATACTACACAGTGCCACCTTCATGGCGGTCACGAGGGCATGTGCCCAATGAGGGACAGAGTGCTTAGCGCAGGGGTCGGCAACCCGCGGCTCCGGAGCTGCATGTGGCTCTTTTACACCTTTGCCGCGGCTCCGGGGCGGATACTAGCGAGGGGAGGAGGCGCATTGTGCACCCCGACACTCCCCATTGTGGCGGGCGCTGTACTGGCTGTGACGTCGCATGGGGGCGGTGCATGCGTTAGTCACGCACCGTCCCGACGTCACCTTCCCAGTTTTGCGGCTCCCAGGTTTTTTTTCTTCGGAAATGGTCCAAGTGGCTCTTTTTGTCTTAAAGGTTGCAGACCCCTGGCTTAGCGTCTCAGAGGAGTCCAGGCTATCCCCCTGCAACTTCTGAGAACTGATATACTGTTATGTGCAAGCAGATCGTGAGATATTTAACAGCAAAAAAAGAAGCACGGCGGAGAAAGAGAGCGCAGGAGAGAGAGGGAGCGGGACGAGAGGCGCGCCCTTCCCCGCCAGCCCCGTCCCCGGCCTCTGCTTTACCCCAGCCTGTGCAGCTCCTGCTGCCTGGAGCCCGAGGCCCCCGAGGCCTTCGCTTCCTGCTGGCGCCGAAAGTAGCCCAGGCAAGCGCTCAGGTCCTTCTCGAAGCTGTCCACCACCGGGTTCCCCGGTTCCACGGGCCCGTAGAAAATGGCGGGCTTGGGGGGAGGCAGAGGCGGGGAGCGGGCTCGGGGCCTGGGGGCCTCCATGGCGGGCCGGCCGTCCTCCCCGGCCTGCGCTTTCTTTCAGCCCCGAGAGGCGGCCCGCGGGCGGTTGCTAGGAAACGGGGCAACAAGCGCCGGCGGAGCGGGGGAAGAGGAGGAGCTGGGGGAGGCGCGGGGGTTGCGCCAGGAGGGGCTCGCGCTCCTTTTGTCTCCCCGCGAGCTGCTGCGCTTCACCTCTTCCTCCTCATTGCCGTAATTGTCTGTGGTGCGAGGGAAGCGCGAGTGGCCCGGTTCTTTGGGACCCTGTTGACGGTGCTGTCGGAAGGAGCGCTTAGGCCTCGACATGATGCTCGGTTTCATAGGTTGCCTTTATTGACAAATGCGGACATTGGGATATGCATGCAATAAAATGTTACAGCATGTCTTCGACTCCTAACAGCAGCACCTCCCTTCACAAAGCCAGGCAGGCTCCATGCTACCCCTCCTACCATTTTCGTGCCCCTCCCCTTTTCCCCTTTCCTTTTACTAAACATTCAGTAGCATGCTGAACATGCATAGTTCTCACTGGGGTTTTTTTTGGGGGGGTGTTGTTGTTGTTTAGTCGTTTAGTCGTGTCCGACTCTTCGTGACCCCATGGACCAGAGCACGCCAGGCACTCCTGTCTTCCACCGCCTCCATAGGCGCCGACTCCATGGGGCTTGAGGGGGCCCAAGCCCCCTCAAAAATTCGTTTGGGGGGGCTCCGCCCCCCCAATAATCTCCGGCGCCCCTCCAGCAGAGCGCCATCGCCGCCCCTCCCCCAGCCCAAAATGCACAGGGAGGGGCGGGCTACATGCCTCCTGCCCTCCCTCCCAAGCAAAAGCTCCACCCAATTTCCTTTGGAGCTGATTAATAGGCGCAGCACGCTCTCCCCTATTCGCTCACGAGGAGGCGGCGCCACTTTATTTGCATATTCATGAGCTTATTTATTATTCATGAGCTTTCCCGGGCCCCCCCAATATTTTTTATAAGTCCGCGTCCCTGACCGCCTCCCGCAGTTTGGTCAGGCTCATGTTTGTAGCTTCGAGAACACTATCCAACCATCTCATCCTCTGTCGTCCCCTTCTCCTTGTGCCCTCCATCTTTCCCAACATCAGGGTCTTTTCCAGGGAGTCTCCTCTTCTCATGAGGTGGCCAAAGTATTGGAGCCTCAACTTCACGATCTGTCCTTCCAGTGAGCACTCAGGTCTGATTTCCTTAAGAATGGATGCGTTTGATCTTCTTGCAGTCCATGGGACTCTCAAGAGTCTCCTCCAGCACCATAATTCAAAAGCATCAATTCTTCGGCGATCAGCCTTCTTTATGGTCCAGCTCTCACTTCCATACATCACTACTGGGAAAACCATGGCTTTAACTATGCAGACCTTTGTTGGTAAGGTGATGTCTCTACTTTTTAAGATGTTGTCTAGATTTGCCATCGCCTTTCTCCCAAGGAGCAGGTGTCTTTTAATTTCGTGACTGCTGTCACCATCTGCAGTGATCATGGAGCCCAAGAACATAAAATCTCTCACTGCCTCACTGGGGGGGGGGGGTGAGGGAGGTACAATTGCCCCGGTTTTTCTTTTTAAAAAGCGTTTGCACTTCTGCAAGCCTCGGAATTCCCAAAGTGCGATGATAACCTCTCTCTCGTTCCTTAGTGGCCATGTTTGGGCTGGGATCCTTTTAACACTTAACTGCCCAAGATTGGTATTAGGGTGACAGAGAGAGTAGAGAGAGAGAACAGTGATATAAGAACCAAATGTAATAAATAATTTATTTTGTGCTTCTATCCTGTACTTTAACTTGTGAACTGCCCTGACATCTTCATATGAAGGGTGGTATATAAATATATAAGCTGTAGAATTGGGAGATTCACTGCTCGAAATGTTCCTGGCTGTTCAGTCTGCATAACTGGAGCAGAAATAGGTGGGGGGAACCCCGGAGGCATATTGTGTGTTTCTACTGCGGAATCAAAGCAAATCTAGACTCATATTGCTTGTGAACCATATGCAAACGCTTCTGATCTCCTTAGAGGAGTAGCATGGAAATGTGAACAGTAATAAGAAAACCAGTAAATAAAATGTCGTTTTACCAAACCACAGTAACCACGAGCGACACTCACAGGTTACTCATAGGATCAGGGTTCACACCACGTGATTTTGGCAACACATGCACAAATCCAGTACTGTATGTGTTGTGCAACGAAGTGACCCAGTGTTATACTGAATTATCACTTATTCCCAGACCCCCAAAGTGGTGGAGATGCATGAACTGACTCAGCCCCAATCTTACCTGCTACTATTATACATTGTAGCCAAAGTCAGGAATAATGAATAAGAATAAGAATCCTACTTGAAACACATGTGTCTTATACTGTATTTTAATCCATGTTAGAATTTGTATGATTTCTGTGTTTTATTTTGTTTTTAACAGGTCTGTGATTGTATACTTTGATTTGAACTGGCAATGTTTTAAATATTAACAAAGGCTTTCCCCCAGTTCGTTTACCTTGCTGAGTGTCCTCCCCACATCATTATTTCATTACATACCATCTTGGGTAACCCTGGTAGAAAGAGTCCAGAAATTTATAAAATTAATGATCAGATCATTAAGCATAGTAAGGGGAACCTAATGCTCAGAGCCATTATTCCTTAGTGGATGTGATTGGTTCAAATTCCAGCAGAACCATAGAACACCGCAGAAGTAGGTTGAACAGATTTGATCAACAGTCATGCGCTGTTGCTTAAAAATGTAGTGCATGGTGTCCTTCAGATGTATTATACTTGAGTTCCCATTGCCCTTGATCATTGGGCATGCTCCCTGAGTCTGATGAGAGTTCCTTCCTTAGTACATTTATATCCAAGAAGCCGGCAAATATGTTCCTTCCCCCTCTATTTTATATTCATAACAACCCTGTACAGTAAGTTAGCTTGAGAGATAAGTTACCCAGTAAACTGCATGGCCAAAGGGCAGTTTGATTCTTGGTATTCCCAGTCCAACAGCATATTCACCACACCACAGTGGCTCTCCCTGGTTCTTGGAGTCCAACAACACCTGCAGGGGCACAAGTTCCCTATCCATTAAGTTTAACCTACCATCAGTCTCATTAAGCATGTCCTCATAACCCAGAGAATGAATTTGATGCACAGGAACCTGATGGCTAGGAACATATCTTTGGGACAGGAACCACAACAAATCCAAAGCTTCAGAATGTATTATGGCATAGTTTTCAGCTTCATTTATCTTTCACAACAGCTTATGAAAAGTGACTGAGCAAATCTGTGCAATAGTCATTGTAATGCACTTCACACAGCGTTCATGCACCTACTCACTTGATGTATACACTAAATGACATCCATTCAGTTCAGAGAAACAATTGCATATTCAAGGAAGAAATTAGGCCTCGAGCCTCTGCTTAGAATGTGTCTTGTCAGCCAAAGCTGCCAGTATAATATTTTCCAGTTATCTCTTTCAAGAAGCATTGACTGTGAAGGAACTTTTACTAAAAACATAATTTGAATTGTTTCAAGAAATTAGCATGTACTGTATTTTGATTAAAATATTTATGATTAAGATAATTTCTGTCGTCTTTTCCCCTAAGACATTTGTATATATAATTTTGCATAGTTCTATTATTTATTAAGGAATTTCTTAATTAATCCCCCATCCCCCAAAATGGTCAAAGCAGTTTGCAAAAAATAAGGTAATTTAAAAGCATAATGCATAATAAACCAACATATTAAAATTGTTCTTATAAATTACACAAGTATAATTAGAAATACAATTGAAATGACTTAGCTCATTAGCCACAGAAGGCCCAGCAAAAAAAGGTGGGTTTTTACCTGGTGTCTGAACAAATACAATGTTGTGGGAGGGCTCATTACACAGATGTGAGGCCACCACCAGAAAGGCTCTCCCATGGGCCCCAAACACTGTACGAGTCATTTAATTCAAGAACCACTGGGATTGCTTCTTCTGTTGATCTTCATACACAGGCAGGTCGATATGCGAGAAGGAGTTCTCTCATATTTGTGCTCCAAGCCATTCAGAGCTTTAAATCTCAACTTTACCACCTTGAATTGGACCCAGAAGATAACTGGTAACCAGTTCATCTCTTTGAGAATAGCAGTTATATGTGATTGGATCGCTGCTCCCTGACCTCCACATCCTGCTAACTGCAACATCTGTATGATCTTTATGGGCATTACAGTAGTCCATCCTAAAGGTTACCAGAGCATGGCTAATTGTACCCAGCACATCTGTGTCCAGAAAAGATTGTGGATGGTGCAAAAATACTCAAGGAGCACAGCTTCATTAGCATCAGATTCATTTATGTTTATGTACACATGGGGGATGTTGATGGGGGAGGGGAGTCCTTACCCTATGCAAAGGTTTCCACACCTGGCTTGAGATGAATTTAGGAACAGCTTAAGGACCCCAAATCAGTGTGAATATAGTTTGAGAAACAATTTAATGATGCATATGTATTTTGGATAAAGCTGTGTGAGCATGGCTTAAGAACTGGAAATGCAAAGTGCACAGTAAACAGGAGCGTGAACACAGCCTTAGTCGTAATGTCTTCAGAAGCCACAGGTAATTTAAAATTAATTTATTGGTTAATGTGTTCAGTTAATTGATTAATTGTTCAATTGTTGATGAGAACTCCAGCTGAAGATAATCAAAACAGAAATAAAATGTTTATCGTTAATTGCTCTTCTGAGTCATTATTTTCCCATTGTTTTTCTTATGTTATTGTCACTTTTCTGATAGAACTCTCATACTTCTCAACCACAGGAGAAGTTTGCTGGGGAGTAAATATGTACTACAAACAAGCCCATCGTGTCGCTTTGCAAGCAGCTCAGTAAGTGGACACAGAAGAAAGAAGGTGTGAACATGTGAGGTAGGCTAGTACTGTGGGATGGGTTTTAATGGGTAGGAGAGGATATGTTAATTGCAATTTATCCCTCCAGGCACACACATGTGTGGGTCGAGCAGAGTTTCAAAAACCCATCTTGGCTGCAAAATTAAAAGCATAGGAATTAAGCTGTAAAGCCTTGTTTTGAGCGAGTCCAGCTATGAAGTAAGGTGGCTCTCCTTTTCTTGTCCTGCTTAATAAGGAATCCGGCAACAACCTGAGAAGTAAGTTTAAAAATATAATTTACTTATAATCTTCCATTGGTTCACAGCAACAGGAGCAGGAAAACCTATGTAGGCAAAATACTTATATTTACAGCTTCTGGCATCTGAGCTGCAGCAAATACAAGGCCATAGCTGTCAACTTACAGATTTGAAAATAAGGGACCAGCAGGGTAATTGATCAAAATTCTCTATAAAATGTCCATTCACTGG